TCCCCACCTTTTCTTCTCTCTGATCTTTCTATCTTTCTTCTCTTTCGTTTTGCATCATAATGGGGAATTGTCAGGCCATCGACGCCGCCGTGTTAGTGATTCAACCTCCTTGTGGGAAGATCGAGAGGATGTACTGGTGGGTTCCGGCGAGTGAAGTCATGAGAATGAATCCAGGTCATTATGTTTCGCTCATCATTCCGTTACCTGAATCCGATCAAGATGATGATAAGGCGCCGCGTTTCACTCGTGTCAAGCTTCTTCGTCCTCGTGATCCTCTCGCCCTCGGCCATGCTTATCGCCTCATCACTTCTCAAGGTCTTTTTTTTCACCGGACCCTGATTATTGCTTCGTGTTCTTATTCTTTTTTTTACTTGTTTTTGATTAAGAAACTGATTGCCTGTGCATTTTGCAGAGGTTATGGAGGTTCTCAAGGCGAAGAAATATGCGAAAACGAAGAGGCAACAACGCCGCCTGGAATCAAATGAAATGTCGGAGCATGAACAAGGGAACTTGCAGACGCGGGTGACGGAGCATGAAAGACGACGCCCGAGGACAGCGCCGGCGATGAGCTCGAAATCATGGCGGCCTTCATTGCAGAGCATCTCTGAGTCTGCAAGCTAATATTGTTTTGTTTGGGGTTATGTTTTGTAAAGATCAGACTGGGTTTGAGAGTGGTAATCAATAACAGTTTCATTATGAACCCCCCAAAAATATGGAGGAAAAAAAATAGAAATTCACTCATATGAATGAAGATGGTAACTTAGACTGGGTTTGAGAGTGCACTCTACCCTCCTTCAAGGTGTCCATTGGGGCCATTTACTTGCACTTAGGCTTATTTGTTCAACACAACAGATAAAGTTATGTATTAACTCCAGTCCAATTAGACAGTTGTTGTCGGTGGTCTAGGCTTGGGTGTCAATTGCCTAACCTCAAGCACTTAGCCCATTTGTATTCTTAGGATACAGATAATAATCTTATTTAAATCATTGTAATTTTTAATTCAACTCATATCATGCAATGGCTCAGCTGACCGATTAAAACAGGTCCATTCAGAAACCAATTAGAAGGCAGAAAGTGTTTAAAAAAAATCAAAAGGTAGTTAGTTGAAAAGGGTGTGTTGTAAATGGAGGGACCTTATACATTAAAGCAATGTGATAATTAATTTCTTCAAAGAAAACAAACCTTAGACTCGATCATCACGTTTCCAATCTCTGCAAATAACACATTCTAAAGCCTTTTTTTATATATATAATCAACCACATTTTCTTGACAACAATAAATCAAAAGTGTCATATAATAATATTTTCAGACACGATCTGTTAGTCAGATAATAGGATGAAGTGTTAATTCATTTAAATGTCTAGAACTTAAATTTTAATTTCAAGAATTTCACAACTTTAAACGACTAGACAAAGATTTAACCATGCTCATGACCAAATGTTAGAAATGCATCGAGCATAAATGCATAGTAAAAGGATCGTTATAAACACCTCCAGCCATTGCCTACACCTTATGTTGAAATCTGGGATTTGATTGTACCACTGCCATATACGTTGTTGAACCACCGTGAACCACCACGAACTGCCAAGTACTTCAAACTTGGCTGCACAAAGACTAGAACCGCTAAGGATCTTCTAAACACTCAAAACCTCACTAGATGGAATAGATTTCCAAATGCGCTCAAATGAAATGCTTTGCTTTGCAATGAATTGTGTTTGATACTTAGGGACCTTGGCTAGATGGGTTTTTATAGGGGTGGTTCCCCATCAAAAACCACCCAAAAGAACCCATTATACCTTACCTTTTGTGCACATCCATGCATAACTCCAAAAACTGGAGTGGGAACGTGCTATTGCATGGGCATAAACCAATCATTAAGGAGTAGTTAACAAAAACTACTCACATTGTTCACAATCAACTCTTTAAATATAGAATATGTTCGAAACTGATTATAAAAATAGAATATATCTTAACTTTTAGAATTATGATAATATAATTATCTAAGAGATGTAGTCCTTTTGATACCTTTGTTTGAATGATATGTTTTGTAAGGATATTGGGAGAGTTTTTAATACACTGATTTTTTTAAATATATTAAATCTTTGGTATACATGGAATTCCATGTATATACACTCTTTGTTATCTTTACGTTTATAGTAATTTATTCTTCTTTCATCCATAAAAGTAGTTTAGTAGACAGTGTTAAACCAAGCTAAATTTTAATTATTTTGTTTGATTTATTTCATGTTGGTCTACTTTGATTATTTTTTCATTTATAAATTTCTAATAAGTGGATTGTGTTAACAAAATTAAAGACATGTAAATACATAAAACAATGAAAAACAAACAAATGCAAATTAGTAGGAAACAAAGGAACACAAGGTTTGTATACAGAATTCTAAACAAGAAAAATGACACATTAGACCAAAGGAAATTCAAATCATAATGTTGAATTAACTTTTGATTTTGATATAACATGAATTTGTAAATGATTTAAGTTTTTAAAATTTGCATTTCACAATTTTATAAAGAATTTATCATAAACAGTTTTAAAGTGTGAAAAATGATCATTAATGTTCTTGAGTAATTTTTAAAAAAAAATTGCAAGTCTTGCTTCAAAGCTCAAAATACTTGTATTTTAGTCAAAACCCCTCCCAGTCTCGAGACTAGGGTGCTAGTCTTGATACCAAAAGCCCAGAAGGCTTCTCAGTTTCAAGACCATTGTCCCAGTATTGAGATCGGTGACTGAATATCGATACTTATTCAAATAGTATCAATACCAAGAGTTCAACGGTTATAAATTTGACCATTAGGATGCTCGGTCTTGATACCAACATCCCGGTATCGATACCAAATGTGCAGGTGAGCATTAAATGCTCAAAATTAATGATTCCAACAACTCCAAACGACTAGATTGATGTTAGAAGACATAAAAATGACCAAAATTCAAATGGAGAACAACAAGAAAATAAATTGGAAGGTCAAACCAACATCAATAGAGGTTTAGAGCAAAAATTGTCAAATTCATTTGTAACACATTTGTGAGCTACAATTGTTAAATTTATTCAAGTGTGATTTTGGTGAGTGCTTAATTTGTGCAAACATATTTGCCTTTATGAGGTTTTTTTTTGTTTGCTAAATTTGCAATTACTCTTAGGGAGAGTGTGTATTCAAGGTTTTGGGGTATAAACCTTGAAGTGTTTGTAAGGTTACACATTGTCTTTAAAGGTAAGCAAATCTAATGGATTTGATAAATCTTTAGTATGGATGCTAAGGTATTGGATGCAGACTTTATTTAAGAAAGTATAACCACTCTAAATCTGTCTGCAAAAAGTTTATTTTTTCGATTACTTCCACCAAATTCTTAAAAAGGTCAATTCAACCCCTCTTAGCTTTATTCGGTTGACCGATAAAGTTATCACATAATCTCTAAAGAAAACGGTGATTAATTTTTAATATTTATTTACAATTAAAAAATTTACGTTATGAAACAATTAAACAAAGACTTGGTCATCAATTAATGTCAATAATGAAGCTGACATATAGTTATATGAGAATGTGTTGTGCAAAAAGTTTATTTTTTCGATTACTTCCATTAAATTCTTAAAAAGTCAATTCAACCCTCTTAACGTTATTCGGTTGACCGATAAAGTTATCACATAATCTCTAAAGAAAACGGTGATTAATTTTTAATATTTATTTACAATTAAAAAATTTACGTTATGAAACAATTAAACAAAGACTTGGTCATCAATTAATGTCAATAATGAAGCTGACATTATAGTTATATGAGAATGTGTTGTGCAAAAAGTTTATTTTTTCGATTACTTCCATTAAATTCTTAAAAAAGTCAATTCAACCCCTCTTAACGTTATTCGGTTGACCGATAAAGTTATCACATAATCTCTAAAGAAAACGTTGATTAATTTTTAATATTTATTTACAATTAAAAAATTTACGTTATGAAACAATTAAACAAAGACTTGGTCATCAATTAATGTCAATAATGAAGCTGACATTATAGTTATATGAGAATGGGTTGTGGTCCTTGCATCCCTTCATCTTTGGAGACGAATATACAATGGTGAGAAGGTGAATTACGAAGGAGTCCAAGTGAGTTAGATAAAATAGGACTCTTGAATAATTGTCATCTCGTGTCGGATTTCCTTTCACCCTGGTCCATACAATAAGATACCACGTGTAGTGAGGGGAGTGAAGTGGCATGAAAAGGTTATAATGCGATTTGCATGCCGATTGGTTGAGTTGGCCTAAAACTGCACCGTTTCGTTTAAAGGGCCATTGTTGTAATCTTCACCCACATCAACATGCAAGAGATTAATATACCCTAAAATTGTAAGGTTGCGTTTTTACGTTCCACTTGATTTGTCCAAACTTTTTTTATTTAAATAGTTTAGAATGATTATAATATAATATTTATTTAAAAAATAAATTTTAACAACACAGTTATAGAATAACTACTTGAACTTTATAATACCTAAAGAGAACAAAATTATCTTTTCAGTATAAAAAAATTAATTTTAACCAATAAAACCACTTGTTGAATTAACCCGAAAAAGAACAAAATTATCTTTTTAGTATAAAAAATTACTTTTAACCAATAAAACCACTTATAAATTCGCCCAAAACTTTTTTCTTCCTGTATGTGTAAGGTTGCCATAAAACTTATTTATATCTGGGAGGAGATATTTAAGGAAGAGAGGAAAGCATCTTGGCATGTTGGGGGCGATGAGCAGTGAGAAACTGGCAATTGTGGCCGGGAACTGAGGGGACACAAGTCCTAGTCCCTTCACTCACCAAATCGGTGACTCCACAAACTTCTCTTCATTCATTGAATTTTTGCTTTAGAATTTGCATACAAATTGTGTAATGTCAATTAAGAGGAAAAACAAAAGAATGAAGAGACTGGATTGAAACGAGAGGAAATAATATTATAATCCGGTTTTTATTTGTTCACGGGTCGAATACAACAAGCTTAAAAAGGCCCCAAAGACAGTATATTTGTTTATGAACCAAAAACTGGTCATTAAACAGATTTTCCTCCTCTAGAGGATCTTTAAAAAGTTAAAGAGATAAAGAGGAAAAAAATATATACAGGCACACACGTGTCACCGTAACACGCACGGCGTAATATGTAGAAAGAACAGAAGATGAATGAAAAAGAAAAGAGGCATTTCCCGCCAAAAAAGCACACAGAAACACGTGTGTTCCACACATGCCAAATGCAGTGAACACACAATCCATTCAACCCTAAACTTGAACGTTTTTTATCCCTAAATCGGCCAACCCAAGTCTCTCTGCTTTCGGCCTAAGGGACCACGCCATCACACTAAAATAGTTATGCGACAAAACCCCCCACTCCCTAGGGAATCTGCACCCCCATTCCTACTAGCCTAATTATATACTAATAAATCTGCAAACTCTTCTTTTTTTGCCTTTTTCTTTACATGCACATATGCATATACTCTTGCATGTCAATTTACTCTCAAAACCCTGACCCTTCACCAAAATCATATATATATATATTTAGGTTTCTACACAACTTGGGCCACCATTTTTCTTTTCTTACTTGCAGTTTCTGTCGTCATCCACCGGCCGGAACCAGTTATTTAATTTTCTTCTTTTGTATGAAGGTGAAGAAGATGAGGAAGATGAGTCACTCGGCCTCATTCGGCCTCGGATCGTCACTCGAAGCTGTGGTAAGACCTTTGGTTGTTTCCTCCTGGCATTGTCTTCCACAAGCTCTTGCATTAACCTGTAGCAGCTTAGGATTTTCTCCTGCAAATTTTGGTTTTTTTCTTTTACCATATTGGAATTTTCCAGTAATTTCTCAGTTTGAACATTAGTTAATTGAACCTACCTTGCTTAGTCCATCACACCATGACCCCGCATGTTCGGGATTGAAAAGAGACAAGTTTGGGATTTGGTTGGCTGCATAAAGTATCGCCGCCGCAGCAATGCTTGACGGCCGATACTCTAGAAAGCTGGCCTCTGTTCACAGCATCAAAACAAATACGAATGTCAGGAAGCTCGTATACGATATCAACCGACGGAAATAGAATAGAATTGATCATGATAATAGTTCCTTTGATATTGGATAAAATAATATCCGAGGCCCTTGAAATCAAGAAGCCCAGAAAAGTAGCGGTTGGGTCGAGCTTGCATGCAAAGAAATCAATGAAACTGAATGGCGTTACTGATCGCAGTCTCCAATCCAGAACCGTCAGCACAAGCAGCTCCATTCTCTGAATTGTTTTTGGTTCAAAAATGTATTTCGCTCCCTCTACCTGCATAGATGCAGCATTTTGTGGGAATTACAATAATTTCTATTCAGTCAAAATAAAAGTTTCCAGAAATTGTTAAAAGTTTACTGAAAATTTTGTTGTTGACGGAAGAAGCATTGTTATTATACCTGAAGATCTACAAGAGATGGAACAAGAGGTTCCTCCATCTTCGCCGCTAACGACAAGCAAGCAATCGACAAAAGTTGCAATGGCCACCCACTATTTTCCTGAATAGTAGTAAAAAATATTACTTCTTTAAAAAGAAACAATGAATATATTTATATCAAGTTACTGATCATAAAACTTAAATGCATGTTTTTAATTAATTACTGAGTTGCTCGTGTCCTTTTCAGAATTTCGTTGTTGAAACTTCATAAATAAAAACCCACTGTCGTTGAAAAGACAAATGATTGCATCAAAAGAGAAAAATTAATGATTCCGTTTCCGTTATCCACCTAATAAATCCTTTACTGAAGTTAAAAGTGGCGGAAAGAAGAGCTCACCGGCAAGCGGCGGGAATACAAAAACCGATCCAAATAGTTAACGGAAAGATAGGCCGTCAAAGGCTGCAAATTGTAGTATGCTTGCACCTGCAAACAAACAAAAAGGGATCATCAGCGTTACTTGAATGGAAGAGAAAAAAAAAAGTAAAATGAAATCGAAACAGTTGAAAGCAACAGCCGGCCTATCAATTATTCATCACCGTCCATCAATCGGCTTCAACGTGCATTTTAGTAGAACTTTGAAATTTTTGAACTAACGTGCGCCAGTGGTACTATTGTAATAACGATGAACAGAGATTGTTTGCACAGTATTAGTTAACAGTCTACCTTTAGAATCCATGCAACAGATTCCTCTCGAGCCGACGCGTCAAGAGATCGACACTGAAACCGGGCCAAGTAATCGAATCCGGGGACGAAGTCCGTTTCGTCTTCGATGAAGCCATCGATGGAGGATTCCTCGATTGAATTCGCCGGAGACTCCAGCTCCGACGAAAATGCCGGCGACTCGCCAGATAACACCTCGTCCGAATCCTCGGCGCAGAGCAAGTCTGTGAAGCGATCGGAACATGATAACGACATATCGATAGCGGTTTCAACGACGGCAATTGTGGCCGTTGATTCCTCCTCATTATCTCTCCATACCCGCCAGTAGATCGAGTAATCTCGATGTCGAAACAGAGCTACGGAGATGTTCTTCTACAATGGGTCGGCGTTTGTGTGAATGAGGGAGGGATATAGATGAAAAGGGGAGAGAGAGAGAGAGAGAGAGAGAGAGAGAGAGACAAACGGTTTGGGGTTTTGAAGCGATGATGTAGTTTTTGAAAGTTGGGGGATGGGGAGCTTGGGATATAAAAATCTGAGGGATTCTTTAAGGGGAGGGTGGTAAAAAAAATTTCGGGGTTGATTGAGGGGCAAGATTTTCCCGGGAAACGGGATTCCATTTTGGAGGGTACTCACAAAGTTTTGTTTGTTGAAGAATTTAAGAGACAGAGAGTCATTGTTATTAGGGTAAAGTACATCCAAGATCACTTAAGTATGGATTTGATAACAAACAGGTCACTTATTTAAAATATTATTACAAATAGGTCATCACATAGTTAATATTGAAATGAACTTATAATGTGGTATGATATAATAACATATTTAGTCCCAAAATTTATACATCCTATAATTTTATCTTAAAATAAAACAACTCAATAAGTGTAATTATTTATATTTAAAATTCTATAAAATTAATTTTTTTACGATAAAATCAAATCAAATAAGCTATCAAAGCAGTTGATGAACAACTATACTTTATCATATAGCAGCAGCATGTAATTGTTGAATTATTTGCATAACCATAAAAATAATAGGAAAATAATATAGCATGTAAATATTAATTTTTTTTTATTAATCTAGGGTAAATATAAGGTTGTATCTGTTTAAAGATAACTCTCTATAATTTGATATTTAACTTTTGGTTCGTGCAACTTTTAAATTTTTAAATATGAATAAGTAAATTTATTGGATTATTTCAATTAAAGCCAAATTTATAAATTGTGTAAATATTTATGATTAAAATTATTATTATATTAGATAACATCATTAATCTACATAATATTTAATAATGAAATGAATTATTTAAAATAATATTTTAATTGAATGATTTGTTTATAACTTTTAAAAAGTAACATATTTGTTAATAAACTCATAATTAAATGACGTTGAATGTAGTTTATTTTTATAATTAGGCTTAATATAAAAATATGTCCTCAAACTATATCCTAAGTTGACTTTAGCTGTCTAAAGAATTTTTCGTTAAAAATAAATGTATAATTTTGGGTGTCCAGTCATACCCTAATCAAAAATTGAAAGCGACTATTCGAACCCTTTTAATTTTAAAAGAAAACATCAAATTAATCTATACGAGCTTTTTTTAAGTCACATTTAATTAAAAATTAAATTTATTTTTAAGATATCGTTTCGAAAAAAGGCATCGTTATTTATTGTTGAACTTTTAAATTATTCTCTTTAATAAACTCATTAAAAGATGTATGCTGTAACAGTATGGTTGTGTTCAGCTGGGCTGGGTGATGTGGCTTTACCTTTTTGTTTGGCTCGGCTTAACACCTCTCCTTGTAACGTCTATAGTCTTTAACTTCTTGGCTTGTAATAGGATTGTCAAAACAGGACTTCACAAATTGAATAAAGAATTAATTGTGGAGTGAATTGAATTGGTTAAATTTAAAATTAGTAGTTGAGTAAATTAAATTAAGTACGGAACAAGACAAACAATTATATAAATGATTAAAAATTAGTAAAACAAACAATAATCTAGTAAATTAAATTGTATTTATTTATAAGATTTTTATTTTATTTATTGTATCCCACCAAAAATCTTGTGCATGCACTATTTTCGCATCTCACGACTTCTGAAAGACTAAATATTTGTAATCTTCCTGCACCCAGGGACAGATCATGTTATAGGTGGAAGGGGGCAATGCCCCAAAATTTTGATGAATCAATAGTCACTAGTAACTTAAAATTATTGTAATTAAGTTTTTATCCTAACCAAAAATTTTTGGTATAATTTTCTAGGCTAGTGTTGGTTTTAAAATTAATAAAATTAAGTATTAATCTTAAATTTGTCTAATTTAATTATATTTTAAGACCTTTGAATTTTAAAATTGACGAAATTAAATCTTTAGTCTCTTAATTTTATGGTTTAATTATTTTTAGAACCCTGTTTATTTTAAAGTTATACAATTTGTCCCCTCATAGTGTGATCCTATTTCCTTTTGACAGATCTACATGACCTATTAGAATTAATCTACCGGACCACCTCCACCTCATCGTATCCACTAAGCATGCTAGTTATGAGTAGTTATTATGACCCTACGACTAACACATACATTAAAGATCAACTATAAAATTTCTCGATCATGTTTGAGAGACGAAATGCAACCTTAATGAAATCGTCTCACGTTTATTCTCCTCTACTTTACCTCCCCAAGTATACAAAGTTTATCAACACTCATAAACGATCGATTATTCTTCGTATATGACTCTTCGTTTAAACTATAAGGGATAAATCACCGATCGGTCACAACTCATTTAGTACTATCAATATAATTATTATTAAATGATTATTCAACCAATTAATTTAAAATTCAATTATTTTAACTACCGATTAAATACGTATAGAATTGATATGTTAAAAAATAACCCCATAACAATCCTAGAAATTGGTACTTTGAGTTTGCAGGGGCAATGCAGTGCAAACCAGCAAATGTGGGAGCAATGTTGCACTTCATTTTTTCCTATTCTACAAACCACTTGATAGCCCCGTTTTTGCTTTTGGCGCTTCTTTTTAGTACAAATTCCAGTGATGATCATATTATGGGATTTACATCACAACAAGTTTAGATAGAAAATCTACACCTAATGTCTATACATAATAAAATTTTAGATAAACTACTTGTTTTGTATTATATCTATTTGTACGCTTTTTTTGATAATTTAATTATTTAAAAAATATTTAATATTTTATTTTATTTTTATTTTGATACCCGGCCGTTAAATTTAACCATGAACTAAATAAAAACTATGATATAATAAGGTATAATAATAGTTTTAACCCCTAAAACTTACACATTTTATCATATTAATCCTAATTCTATCAAATTGATCATCATTTGAAATTACAATAATTTATTATTAACTTAAAAATAGTTTTTAAATATTTAAGATGTATTAAATTATTTCGAAATAAAACCAAATTAATAAGACATGTAAATTTTGAGACTGAGATTATTGTTATACTATATCATATCACTATTTTTATTAAGTAGATTATCAAATTTAACAGGAGTGTCAAAATAAATAAAATTGAGCAAAACAAAACCACGGATATAAGCAAAGTATTAAACAAATAATTAATCCTAAAATTTAAAAATAAGATATTTAAAACTTTATCATTAAATCAATATCTAATGTACACGATTTAAAAAAGGACAAGAAAGATATCTGCAATGAAAATGATAGCGAATCTAATTTTAGGCATTTGAATGATTAAGGGGCCAGTGGCACTGATTCAAAAGTGAAAATATGTTACAATTTCCATATGGCAATGACAATAACGTTGAGATCTCTTCTTTGGTATAATTATTACTGAATCCAGTTATAATATACTATACATTTCTTTGGTGGCTTCATGTGCATATGTGCAGTATGAAGAAGAACCACCCCACCATTCAAGTCATCAGAACTCAAAAGACGATAACAATTCTCAACTTTATAGGGCTCTCGTTACATTCTCCCTATATTGTCCCCAATCATTACTTTTATTTCATTTTAGTCTATTAAAAAATTATGAATAATGTTGACGTATAACATAAGATAATGACACATCATCATTGAAATAAAAATAAAAATATTGCATCGATAATTCTGTTAAATTTTTAACGACGAGTGATTAAAATAAAACTAAAATATATAGTTAGGTATAGTTATATATGCGAAGGGAACGAAAAGGATAATTAGGTTTCTTAGATTCTGTAAAATGGGCCATGCAAACAAAATAATTGGGGATTAGTTTATGTCTCTTCTCACAAACCTGAATTATTTGAACATTGAACAATGGAAACTTGTCATGATTGCATGCTTTGGTTAAATGTTTTTGCATTAAATTCTATGCAACTCATATTCACATTTTTATCACATAAATGTTCTAATTTCGCTGACAAGAAAGTCAAACTCGTTGAAATATTGTACTTATTAGAATAAATATAATCTTTTAGGGATGTGAATAAATATATTTGGAAACTGTTGAAATTTTCTTCTTCACTGGGGTCGATTGATTTGGACTCTCGATGCGTCACAGTAAATAGCTTACGTACGTTATGAAGAAAAAACCATATGTATTATTTGCCGAGTATGACGTAAGGCTTAGGTAATTATTATGTCTTTATGTTTTAGTTTCATTCTGTTCTTAAAAAAATCATCACTCAAAAATGAATTTCAGCCAAGTAAATTAGTTTAATTGTTTTAAGATTTATACGTAGTTTATTAAAAATAATAAATTAAATATGAAATCATATTTAAACGTATATTAAAACCTTGAGTCTTTTAATTTTAATATTCTTAGAGGATATATTTTATCTTGCCGTAAAATTCTCTGTTGAAATATAGTTAAAATAGAATTTAAATTTTATTTTTACGATATTTTAATATTCAATGGTGAATCAGTTAAAGATCCAGGACGGACATATGTCTATCCTGAAATTTGAATTTTCTTCAAATAATTACATATTTTAATTAGATGTGCTTACTCTAAAATTTAAGTTGTGCTCACCCTATATAAAAGTTTTATATGATTAATATATATGTGTATCCACCTCCATCCCGAAAAATGCTTTTGGATCCATCATTGTTAAATCTATGATATATCTAACATAATTTCATATTATACTTTATAATAAAATTTTATATTATATATATGTCTCCACAGGAATGAGTTTTAATATAACATTATTTACATTAAATATGTTTTCATGTACACCTTAAGTGAATTCCTACTTCGGACTATATATCTATCATAATTACGTGTTGACTCAATGAATTAACACTCATCCATATACATATAGTGGGAGCATAGTGTGTGTTTATGATAGACACAATGACACCTACTCCTATTCCCGAAATAATGAAGAAAAAACAAAATAGAAAACAATAGGCTAAGGAAAAATCCAGACCATGTCAAGATGACAGAAAAGGTTGCTAATCTGCTTCCTGTTTAAATTTATTATTATTATTTTGGATCAATGTTTAATTCTTTTTATTTAGAAATACCCGATTCATGCACCTTACTATAACGCAAATAATGCCATGGAAATTAGAGCTTCGGATGCTCACAATTTTGCTATTTGTTCACAACCCGATT